TATGAGATACAAAAGGTTTACTATCAACTACCTTGTATTCTTCCTGTAGGTTTTCTTTTGCATTTTATATTGGACAAATTAAGAATCAGCAGACACCGTATGCATCAGAAATTCAAAATTCAGGTATCTCAGTGATAAAATTCAGAGAGCTGAAACAAAACCAGAAAGTCTATACCAAAAATCAGTCTCTCTTTCTCCAACTAAGGCTACAAGAGCAGGAAAAGTATTCTCTGACAGTAACACATCAATGACAATTTCGAGAGTTGAGTGATCTCTCTGTTCCTCGTCTCTCCTGGTAGCAGCAGATATAATAGCAGAGATGAAGTTTACACATCAATGACAATCCCTCCAGTATATCCCTCCAACAACCAAGAATCACCATATAGACAAACAAAAAGACCCACACCCCAACACCCCCTCGTTCCTTTCTTCCTACCATCCAACAGAAGCTGCAGAGCTCCTGTGATAAATATTAATGATGACAAGAAACCAGGAGACCGAGAAACAGAATGGATGGAACCAGTTAAATGTTGTCTCCAATTTGATCCCAATTATGGATTCTGATGAACTAAAACTTTAGGTATGATTTGAACAAAAGAAGACTAGTTCATAATGCAACCACTTGAACAATGAAGACCACATCCTACCCTCCCACAATGTCTAGTTCTTGAATTTTGCAGGGATATTCTAATATACACATGTATGTACATGCAAGTTTGCCAAAAAGAAAAATGACATCAAGAAGCCAATATCACCACTGCAGGCCTACAACAAGACAATTCTTTCTTCTATTCACATCCTACAAGATGTAAACGCAAATCGACGCCAACAACCCACGATCGACGACGCAAACAGAGGTCACTCGACTGATTCCCAACAAAAGCAAACTGGCATCACATAGACTATAAGCAGATCCGATCAATACCATATATCCTGAAATACCACAAAACTGAACAAAATACACAAAGCTATCACATCAACCAAGAATAAGCACAAAGCAAAGAGACGAAAGAACAACAAAAAGGAAACGAAAACTCGATCAAGAAAGGAAAACGAACAGAATATCTTACATACGATCGGAGGAAAGCCATTTTCCACGGAGACGAATTAATCCTTTTCCGTCGCGATTACAAAAGCAAAGACGACAGTGAGCGGTAGAAAAGGATGTACGCCGAGACCACGAGTTGGGGGAAAAACACGAATTACCCTCCCCGACCGCGGTGGGTGCAGAATGCTCCTTCCCTTACCCATACAGACTGGGAGGCCACGTGAGCTGATGCCACACCGGAAGCAAACACGATAAGGCTTGGACTTGGGCGGTGGATAGGATGCAGTGGCCCTGGCAGCTTCGTCGATTTGGACCGGGCCAAGTTACCGCCACCGCCACTGACGTCCGGTCTTAGACCATTTTGCCTCTCTCTCTCTCTCTCTATATATATATATATATATGGAGAGAGAGAGAGAGAGAGAGAGAGAGG